TTTTTTGATATATACCTTGATCAAATAAGCTTTCAAAGGAAAAATAATTTCTGCTTAATAAACTTTTATTATTCAATAATCTAGAAATGCCTGAAACTAAAATTATCTCAATTTATGTGTTAGTAATTGTCTTTAGAAGTGGTAGGATTCAAGCATCTGTGTTAGACTTGATTACTTACTAATGTAAAATGATATACTATTTAGCTATTTTCAAAATATCTTAGTCATCTTCGATTCCATCATATGTGTAAATGAAATATCCAACTCAAATGGAATATCTATAACTTCCCTATTGTCTATGTCCTTCTTATTCTTTTAGTGGCTAATAGGCTTTGAGCTTTCGCCATGGTTTTTGTTTTTTGAGAGTAGATAATAAATTCTATTATCTCTAATTTGGATCAACACAATCCAAAGTTGTAGCCAAAGAGTGCAAATCATTCGATTTAAGGTTTAGTAATGTGCAAAGATTAAATTCAAAGGAATTCTCAAAACATGAAATAACATGAGTTTCTAAGAATTGTTGCTGGTGTTCAACTTCAAAGTTAAGGTTAAATTAACCGTTCAATAAAATTAAATAAGGATACCCTTTGAAGATGATGATACTTTAGTTTATTCTAATTTAGTATAAAGAACTCCTTTTAGTAGATATTTGTTAATTCAATTTTATTTATATAAACTCAACCTCGTAGTTAAATATTGCTTGCTTATAAATCTTTGCTATCCTAATTTCAAATCTATTTATCTTTTTGTGCTATCCTAAATTTGAAATTTGTGTCTCTTAAGATTTATAAAAGGTTAATATTGCTGAGATCTACCTATAGAATATTATTAATCTTTGTTAATGTATACTTTTCTTCGCCTATCAATATACCCATCTCAAATTTGAGCAACCTGTTAATTTCTCTTCCTTCTATTTTTGATGCTAGTCAATTTGAGTGACATCCAGCATTGGATCATTTCCACTTGAAAATTTCTCATAACACAGTCATAGGTATTGTTGGTCTATGTGAACTGCATGTTAATTTCTTCTATTCTTTGATAGGCTAGAAATTAACTTCAGCAACCTAGGTTATGTATGTTAATAAAAGATATATAAATCAATATTCAAACACTCCAATGAGTAAAGAAAAAGATGAATCTATATACGAGAATAATGGTATTTTCTTAACTTAATTTATGACTAAATATTTTGCAACTATGTAGGGAAAATTTCTAATAAATGATCTAGGCTATGAAGATCTTCGAATTATCTATGTGACTCTGTTTGTAACTAAAAAATAATTTGTATTGATTAATTGTAATTCTTCAAGTCCTTGCTCTTTGTAAAAAATTGTCCTCACTCAATATTCTTGTTTCATTCTTAGCCTTTTACTACTCTCACCCATAAATAATAGTATTATATGTTAAATTGATTATAATTTTCCATTGGCTTAGGATATTTCACTTCGAAAATTAAAGTTCTGATAAACATTTGAAATAGTCCAAAACAATCCAAAATTTGAAGCAGAAAATCATTAATTTTGGCATTTAATCACCATTTAAGTAAGTTAAATTATAGTTTTAACTCTTCATCAAATAATAATTTTAAAATTTAAGAAAAATACAATTATTTTACTAAGTTGCTATTTTGTAAGAGTTAAGGAAAGGATTTAAAGATACGTACTATTTTTGTTTTAGAAAATACAAATAAAAAATTAAAATAAAATATTTCGCTGATGATGTCATAATGGCATGTCCTGAGGATTTTTCCCCTAAGCCTATCCTGCCGCCTGAGGGACTGAGATAGACTTAGAATGGGCATGATGGCATCAGAGAGATCAGTGATAAGAGGAAAAGAGTGAGATTGGGTTTGGGTTTGGGTTTGGGTTTGGGTTTGGGTTTGGGTTTGGGGTTTGGGT